AGGCCCTGGGTTCAATCCCCAGTACCACCACCAAAAAAAAAAAAAAAAAAAGATGTTCAGTTACAAATTTTATGTTTTGAACAACTAATAAAAAAAAAGAAATTGAAAAAAAATCCTTGAATACACATATAAGATATACACACATATAGATGAGGTCATATATACAGATAAGGTCATATGAATGGAATCATACTATATGTGGTCTTTTGTATTTAGTTTTTTTCAAACAACTGTTTTCAAAGTTTGTTCATATTGTAGCATTTATCAATACTTCATTCATATTTGTTGATGAACAATTATTCCATTGTATGGATATAGATAATTTGATTTACCCATTTGTTTATTATAGGAAATTTAGGTTGCTTCTACCTTTTGGTTACTATGAATAATACTATTGTTAACTTTGTGGTAGTTTTTGTGTAGATATATGTTTTCATTTCATTTGAGTGTCTATTAGGAGTAGAATTTCTGGGTCACGTAGTAATTTTAATTTTTTGTGAAACTATTTGGCTTTTCCAAAGTGGTTGCTCTATTTTACATTTCTATCAGAAATATAAGAGTCTGGATCTGTACATTCTCACCAACACTTGTTCTTATCTTCATTATAGCTATCATGGTAGATRTGAAGTGGTATCTCATTTGATTTGCACTTTCCTGATGGCTGGTGATGTTGAACACTTTTTTATGTTCTTATTTCTTATTAATATATCTTCTTTGGAGAAATGTCTACCCAAATCTTTTGCCCATTTTAAATGGTGTTGTCATTTTATTATTCAGTTTTATGAATTCTTTATATATTTTGAATATAAATTCCTTATGAGATATATAATTTGCAATACTTTTCCCCCATTCTCCATGTTATAATATGTATATTCTGAGATGTTCTTTACTTTCTTAATAACATCTATAATTTTAGCTCTTTCATTTATACCTGCAATCCAATTTGAGTTAATTTTTCTGTCTAGTTTCATTTTTTTGCACAGGGATACCCAGTTGTTTCAGATATTCAAGGTATAGGGAATATCTTTTGGATTAGAGCATGTGCTATTTTGAATTGTTAGACTAAGTCATAAATATATGTAATATATTAGAAACATACTGTTTACCTCCTAGCATCTTTGGAACTTACGGGAGTTATTATGAATCCTGAAAAACAAACAAAAAAGGTAATTCCTAAAGTACTTACTAAGTGTGCAGGTACTGTAAGTACTGGGCTACAAAGATGCATAGAACATAGATTTTGCTTTTCAATGTGATTAAAAAGTTGACAAAAAGAATAAGGTGCAGATTTTTGTGATTTGAACAAGATCCTGAGAAACAATCACAAACTGCTTTGATAAAGCAGGAATGAACATTAGATTGAATTTTGAAAAATGAGTAAAAGTATGCTAAAAGAATAAAGTACAGAAGAGCCACAGGTATGAAAGAAAGCATACTGCTGGGGAAATACAAGACTTAAGGCATCATCGTAGCACCGAGTAGATGGAAGATAGCTGTGGGAGATAAAATTGGAAAGGGGKAGACTTTGTAGTTCTACCAGTATGAATACCTGGCTTTCTTGGAGGTACTTCTGATGAAACATTTTGTTTCTTATTACACAAATGTTAATATTACATTTTAAATCCATAAAGTTAAATATTTGTTTTATGCATAATATATATAATGTTTAAATATAGAAATGCACAATTTAGAAATACAAATATGTATGTATGTACTCAAAAACTTTTTTTTTTTCTTGGTACTGAAGATTGCACTCAGGGGCATTCAACTACTGAGGCACACCCTCAAGTCCTTTTTTTGTATTTTATTTAGAGATAGGGTCTTGCTGAGTTTCTTAGGAACTCGCTAAGTTGCTGAGACTGGCTTTGAACTCTCTATCCTCCTACCACAGCCTACCAAGCTGCTGTGATTATAGGTGTGCACCATTGCACCTGGCAACTCAAAAAATTTTACTGATAGAATACATGATTAAAAAACCTGAGAGGCCCTTATTGTAGGTTACACAAAACCATTGAGGTATTTTTTCCCGTTTTTTGGGGCACATTATAATTATACATAATAGTGGGATTCATTATTACATATTTGTACATGCACATAATTTAGTAATATAATTTAGTCAGTATCATTCCTCAGTATTTCCCCTTTCCCTCCTCTGCTTTCCCTCCTGGTTCCTTTTCTGGTCTTCCTTCAATTTTCATGAGATTTCCCAACTTTTCTTTTCCTTTTCCCCTCTGTAGCTTCCATATTCAAGAAACAGCATATGACCTTTGATTTTCTGGGTTTAAAGCCATTGAAGTTTTTTTAAGTGGAGGAAGAACAAAATCAGATTTGTATTTTAGGATGTTAACCATATGGAAGAGGATGGAAAGCTGGGAAACTAGTTCAGATATTGTGAACATTTCAACTAAGGCAGTGAGTGATCTTCCATCTTGCTGAGGTCTTGGTCCTGGTTTAGAATGTATCTGAGTTACCTAAAGTTTATTGAGTAGATTGACAGATAATTAAAGGACTGTTGGGGCCAAATTTTGATGGCATTTAATACTGTTGTTCTTTCATAATTGCCATTATCTTCTTTATTTTCTTGTGGAAAAAGTATCTATCTTTCCCTCTTAAATTTTTCTCAGATATTAAAACCTTTTTCCCCCTTTGTTCTTACCTCTTTTTAAAGCACTGTATTACTGATTTTTTGTTGGATTATGATTTATTTACACACAGTTAACTATACAGAACTCTGGTATATAGTTTGTTCTGACAAAAGTATATACCATCCAAATCAAAATATTCCAGAAAGATTCCTTTTTTTTCTCCAGTCTGAGGTTTCTATAGTTTAGATTTCTTTCACTGTATAGTAATTTTGCCTTTTGCGTTTTGTATATACTTTGTGTTGTTACATATATCAGTTCTTTTTATTTTATGAGTATACTTTAAAATATTTACCCTTTCTCCTGTTGATATTTAAATTATGTCCATTTTGGACTATTATAAAGCTTTTGTGAATGATTTTGTGAGCTAATGCTTTGATAATTTTTTGATGTATTCTTAGGAGTAGAATTGCTAATTTTGGGGGTATTTACATGTTCAGTTTTATTAGAAACTGCCAAACTGTTTTCTAACATGATTTTATCATTTTATGATCCTAGCAATGTGAGATTTTAAGTTGCTCCACATTCTTTCTGACACTTGACATTGTCAGATTTTTATTTTGGTAATTCTTTTAGGTCTGAAATGCTGTCTCATTGTGGTTTAATTAGCATTTTACTGATGACTACTGATATTGAATAATCATTTAGTAATTCATCATAGTTACTGTTTATGAGTCATTCATAGTTTCTTTTGCCAAGTGTCCCAAGTCTTTTGCTCATTTACAAAATCGAATTAGTTAATTTTTAGAATTATCCTCATATATCCTGCATGTGAATCCCTTTTCAGATGTATGTATTTTGAGTTTTTTCTTCAGTCCATGGATTCTCCAATTTTAAGTGTCTTTTGATAAGCACAAGTTTTATTTTGATGAAATTCATTTTCTCAATTTTAAATTTCATTGTTGGTGCTTTTATTATACTATTAAAGGAATCTTTGTCTATCCAGAGATTCCCAGGATCCCAAGATATTCTGTGTTTTCTTTCCTGTGAATATCTAGTTACTCAAGAACCATTTGTTGAAAAGACCATCTTTCCCCTACTGAATTCCATGACACCTCTGTTGTAAAATCAAGTATAAGTATGGATGTATTTCTGGAATTGTTTTATTGATCCATTAGTCTGTACTTATTCCAGGAATGTACTGTCTTAATTACTGTAGCCAAATAAGTCTTAAAATTAGGTGGTATACTTATTTATCAAAATTTGCTCTTCTAGGTCCTTTGGATTTTCATATTGAAGAATCATTTTGTCAATTTCCACAAAATGTCTTCTGGAAATTTTAATTAGTATTATGTTGAATTTACAGATAAACTTCAGAAGTTGATCAGATAATTGATCATATAAACTATAATGCTGTGGCTGGGGTTGTGGCTCAGCAGTGGAGCACTTGGCTTGCATGTGTGAGGCACTGGGTTCTATCCTTAGCACCACATAAATAAATAAATAGATAGATAGATAGATAAATAAAGTAAAGGTATTGTGTTATGTACAACTAAAAATAATTTTAAAAAACTATAATAGTATAATAAACAAATGCTATCAGGTATAAGATTTTTATTAAAATGTGTTTTAATAATATGTAATTTTTCCTGATTTTTAAAATTTAATCATTTTCAGTTAAAAGTAACCAGTAGAAATTCTGCTGTTGGTAAAGAGATTCTTATTTGCATGTGAAGAGGCATGGAATTTACTGTGTGTTCATGATTTTTATATAGGGGATCACAAGAAAATTATTTGAGAGTTATAGTTTTTATATGTCACTTGATAGTTAATATCCAAGGAGACTTCTTTCTGTAGTTGATTTTTAAAATTAATTTCTTATGGTTGTACATGATGGTGAGATTCACTGTGGCATATTCATATAGGTATATAGGAAAGTTATGTCAGATTTATTTCATYGTTTTTCCTTTTCCTGTCCCTTCTTCCTTCCCTTCCTTTCCCTTGTCTACTCCACTAAATTTCTATCCACCTGCCATTGGTTAGCTTCCACATATTAGCGAAAACATTCAATCTTTGGTTTTTGGGGGGGATTGACTTTATTTTCCTTAGCATGACAGTTTCCAGACCTATCCATTTACTGGCAAAAATCTTACAGCTTATTAATATTCCATTTTGTGTATATACCACATTTTCTTTATCCATTAAGCCGTTGAAGGGCACCTAGGTTGGCCGTAGGAGACTTTTAAAGAGCCATTGTAGTAAATCATGTTTTTTTTCATTACGTGGAGGATAGTCATATGATGGAACTTTTAGATTAATAGATGGGAAAAGGAAAATCACTGTGGTGATTCAATAAATATAATAGAAACTATTGAATACTTTAAGGTGAATGTTTTCCTATTTTATTATTAAATACAGGGTATATTTACTTCTGGCACATGGGAAGAAAAATCAGATGAAATTTCCTTTGCTGACTTCAAGTTCTCAGTCACTCACCATTATCTTGTACAAGAATCCGTTGATAAAGAAGGAAGGGATGAAATATTAGAAGGTAAGTTTTTACAACATATTTTTAAAATCTTGACTTTTAAGACTGGTCATAATTTTGAATTATGAATTTAGTTCTCATAATTCAGCAATCTCCTTTCAAACAATTTACAAAATGCGAAGTCATTTCACATTTGAATTGAGTATGAGGTACTGTATCTGAAGTAGAGAAAGAATTACAGTGCCATTCATCCTAAAATTAACTGAATCGGCACATATTTATTGAGTACCTAATATATGCTACCTTGTTGAACCCAAACTTAAATGAAATGTACATCCCAGAAGGGGAAATAAGATATTTAATTAATAGTAATACGAGGTAGAAAGTGATAAATAACATCCCAGGGACAGAAAAAGGTCTGCTGAAGTTCAGAGAAGAAATGGTCATTTAATCAGGAGAGATCAGAGATAGGCAAGTAAGATGGGCTTTGAAAGATTACAAGAGGAATTTGTCTATTAGATAGTATTGTGTTTTGATTATATTCTGTATTTTAGAGTCAGACTGAGTGGATTAAAAGTCTTATTTTCGTAATTGCTAGTTCTTTGACCTTTCTAAACTTTGGTTACCTCATTTTTTTTTCAATGAAGAAATACTATTAGAGGGTTAATGTGAAGATTTAATTTAATTTGAATCAGTGTTTCTGAGATGAACAGTTGAATGGTATTATGGTATAAAAGAAGACGAATGAATTTGAATAGTTAAGACATTGTTGATTGTGTATGTACTATACAGTATTTTTATTTGGTTGTGATTGAAACTAGTACTAGTTACATATCTGTGCCTTTTCTTGTGTAGGAATAACATTATATTACCTTTTCTATTTTATTCTTAGAAATAGAACAATTAGATAGGGTCTGCATTTAGATTCAAAGAACATTGACAAAGAACATTGACCATATCACATATGTGTAAGATAATTCCACAGCAAAATAAAATAATTAAACCAGAATATAAATATGAATGCTGTAGGAGTAAGGGAAGAGAAAAATGTTTGCAATTGGCAGGAGATCTGATAATAGCCATGAGATTTTTGGGTCTAGCATTCCATAGATTAATGAAAGAAACTATTCAAGACAGAGAAATTTTAAGTGCTGTCAATTTGAGAAAAGATTATGTATTAAAGGAGAAACTGTTAGAGTAAGAAGGCTTAGAATCAGTGTTTCTAGAACACCAAACAGATGAAGGGTACCATGATATAAGAGATGAATGAATTACAGTTAATATTCAAATAGATGGTTAAGGCATTATTGTTTGTGTGTTTTATACAGTTTTCTTTTTATTTGTGGTTGAAACTATAATAATGGTGGAAGTTACAAGCAAATCATCAGCTCTGTTAATTTAGAGATACATAGTTTAAAACTATGTTATCAGAGGTCGGAAGTTTTGAACACTTTTTTTTTAATTTTGTTTTTGTTTTGGAATTGCTTATTATTTTTGGTTAGGTATAATGTCAAGTCATTAATGCTATCCCATTCTTTTAGCAGTTAGCAACATATAAATTAGCTAAATAATGATACATAGCTATCCAACAAAAGGAAATATTTGTATGAACATAGGTATTTTTTGTTTTAAATTTATTCTATGAGTATAAATAATGATAATTGATGTATCTTATTATGAATTACAATTAAGCTGCTGGAAGATGAATATGTTAGGAGTGAGACACTGAGTAGAGGTTTTACAAAAGTATTAAGAGATCAGGGTGATAGAAAAGGCTGCCTGTAAGAGGTGATGTAGAGTTGACAGGTCTCTAAGTAGAATTTTGAAGAAAAGAGAGAGAAGGGCACATCAGGAAGAACTACTAAAATAAGATTTTCTGGAATGGGTGAGGATTTAGAAGCAAAAATGAACAAACATAGGAATGATATATCTTTTTCTATGGGCTGGCTTTGTTTGATGGGGAGAGACAGATGGACAGACAGATTTTCCTCCCCTTAAATCTTAGAGCTAGCCTAGATATAAATCTTTGAGCCATTACAAAACTACACAGGCRAATAAGACATAGTTCCTCAAAAAAAATTATAAAATCTGCCTTAACATGAACATCCTTTTTCATTATCAAATATTTTTATAGATGCTATTCCACAGTCTATGCAAGATTTGCTATGTATGAATAATGACTTTCCTCCAAGAGCACATTGCCTGGTAAGATGGTATGTATACATTTTATTCAGATGACTTTTAGTTTGTGTCAGGGAGACAATCAAGAATGTTCTCAGGTTCAGTGATTTGTTAAAGGTACTCACATGACTCAGCATCTAGTTGTACTTACAGCTGATTTATTACAGCAACAGGGTGCAGAGCAGAATCAGGAAGGGAAAAGACATGAGGCCAAGTCTAGTGGGAAGCTTTTAAGAGTCTTTTACTAATGGAGTCATACCGGTTATGCTCAATTCCTCAGCAACAAGCCATGATGACTTGTGATAAACATCTATCAGGCAAGCTTGTTAGAGGCTTAGCTTTCAAGATTTTAAATCAGAGACTGATCAGATATGTACTCTATGGCTGGTATATATCAAAATTCTAGATTTCCTGAAGGAAAGCAGGTGTTGAGTATAAACCACATTGTTTGCATAAACAGGTCAAGCACAGTGAATGGTGAGAATCCTTCCCAAATCCAGATTCCTGGATTCTAGCCAAGAGCCAACCTTGGAAACAGGCTTGTCTAAGAATAACAGTCATAGGCCTCCTGATAACTTTTCCCACACAATGTTTCAAAATCTAAGGTTGTTCCAGACTATACTTCTAATGACTAACATAGAACCCCTAAATATTATAGAAAATTTAATGTGTATTGTTGGAAGTAAAATGTTGATTTCAAACAGTTATGTGATAAAATCAACATGTCTATAAACTATAAACGTGATACATTAAGAGGCACATAATGTTTACAAGGTCTCATCTTTTTTATTAGTGAGTCTCTGAACTTTAATATGTTAGTGTTAAAATATATCACAAACCATCCYGAGTATGAATGTACGGTCAAGAAAGGAAATATCTAGTTGAAGAAAGTTTATATACTCACTTAAAAATTTTTTTGTTTGGTGTGAATCGATCTTTGGACTGTATGGATTGTTTTTTCTTTTAACTAAAGAGTAATTTCTAAGGGAAGGGAAAATTGTGTTTCTTTTTTTCTTTTCATTGTAATTATAGTAGGGAATATACTTTGTAACACATAAAAAAAAGAAGAAAAAAGAAAACTATTTGTAAATGCATATAAACTGGATAATATTTCTGTTTTGGTACAGTCTTTTATAATTATGACTTTAAACAACTAAAAGAAGGAAATTAATAAATACAATTAATTATCCATTTAATTTAATCCTTCTAGATTCTTTTCTGATATTCTAAAATGTGAGTATGTGCGTTTAACATGACTAAATATATCAGAAGACAGCAGGGGCATATATGCACACATGCCTTTGTTCACCATTAATTGATCACTTACTGTTGGGCAGGTCTGAATTAGACAAACAAGTTTGATTTCTAGCTAAGATACTTACTGTCTTTGAGACTTTAGGACATTACTTAATTTCTCTTGACTTTGTTTCCACATTGTTAAAATCAGAATAATAAATAACATAGACCCTTTTGGGTAATTGTAAGCATTAAGATATAATTTCTGTTCAACATTTTTTTTTTTCTATTTTGGTACCAGGGATTGAACTCAGGGGCACTCAACCACTGAGTCACATCCCCAGCCCTATTTTGTACTTTATTTAGAGATAGGGTCTCACTGAGTTGTTTAGCGCCTTGGTTTTGTTGAGACTGACTTTGAACTCATGATCCTCCTTGCTTCAGCCTCCCAAGCTGCTGGGATTATAGGGTGCACCACCATGCCTGGCTCTGTTCAACTTTTTATTAGATATTTCCCAAAACTGTTTTTTGACTCATTGTCCATGGTGAATGAATAAATGAAATCTTTCTGTGTATTAATGAAAACCACTTATTTGGTTCTTTAAAAAGAACTTTATAATTTTATTTTTTGATTAAATTTTGTTTTTTAAATTACAGAGAAACTGACCAGTGAATATTTCTCTGAATTTTAACATATATAGATTTTTTTTGGGGGGGAGAGGGGAGATACTGGATTGAACCTAGGGGCACTTAACCACTGAGCCATATCCCCAGCCCTTTTTATTTATTATTTTGAGATGGAGTCTCGTTAAGTTGTCGAGGCTGGCTTTGAACGTGTGATCCTCCTGCCTTGGCCTCCCCGAGTAGCTGGGATTACAGGTGTGTGCCATCACACTGGTTAGATTTTTTTTTTAAGCACTACCACAACTAGAATCTAGAGCAGTTCTATAACCCTCTAAGAAACACCTCTTACCTCTTAATATTCACACCTTCCACACATTCTTGTGATTCTTGGAATCACAGATCTGTTCTCAGTCACTGGACTTAAGTTTTTTCAAGAATGTCATATAAATGGAATATAAACTTTGTAGTGTACAAGCATTTGAGATTGACTTTTTTGACTTAACATGGTACCTCTGAGAGTCTTTTTGAAATTATTCTGTGTATCAGTAGTTTATTCCTTTTTATTGTTGAGTAGTATTTTATTGTAAGCATGTACAACAATTTGTTTACTTATTCATTGGAAGATATTAGGATTGTTTGTAGAAGTTACAAGTATGAATAGAGCTGCTATAAACATTTGCATATAAGTTTTTGTGTATACAGATAAACATTTCACTTGAGTAAACATCTAGAGTAGAATTGCTAAGTCATATACTAAGTGTATGCTTAACTTTATAAGAAAATGCCAAACCAATTTCCAGACTACCTGTACCACTTTGCATTCCCATTAATGTATGAGAGTTACAATTGCTGTACATTAAGCGATGTTTAATATTGTCAGTGTTTTTATTTTAGCCAGTCTAATAGGTATGTAGTAGTTTCTCATTCTAATTTTAATTTTGAACATCATTCATATGTTTATTTTCCATCATATGTATTCTGTATGATGAAGTGTCCAAGTCTTTTGCACGCTTTTTAATTGAATTATTTGTTTTCTTCCATACTTTTTCATTGGAATATTTGTTTTTTAATTGTGGAGTTTAGAAAGCTCTTTATATATTCTGGATATAAATCCTTTTTAAGAATGTGTGATTTGCAGGTATTCTGTCTGAGACCAAAGCTTATCTTTTCTATTTCTCTCTTCTCTCTTTCTTGGGGGGCAGGGAAGATCTGGGATTAAACCTAGGGATGTTTACTGCTGAGCTATATCCCCTGTCTTTTTTCTTTTTTCTTTTGGGACAGGAAATGAATTGCTGAGACAGGATCTCATGAAGTTGCCCAGGCTAGCCCAAACTTGTGATTCTTCCACCTCAGCTTACTGAGTATCTGGGATTATATATTTAAATCACTGGACCTAGCTGTTCCTTAGATTTCTTAAATATAGTAATTAAAAATTATTTTTGTATATAACGAGCTTTGCATTCTAAAGATAACTATTCATTGTATTTGTGCATATATATATGTATATGCATACACATATACACATACATAGCTGGATTAGATATGCTTGTATTTTTGAGAATTTTGTGTCTGTGTTCATTAGGAATATTGATCTATTATATTCTTTTCTCATACTTTGCTTTTGTTATCAGAATATGCTGGCCTTATAATGTGAGTTGGAAAGTGTTCTGTTTTCTGAAAGAGATTGTATAAAATTGATTACACAAATTGTTTGTTAGGATTTGCCACTGAAAATAACTGATCCTGGAGTTCTCTCTTTTTTTAGTTGTTGATGGACATTTATTTATTTATTTTTTTATTTATATGTGGTGCTGAGAAATGAACCCAGTGCCTCACACATACCAGGCAAGTGCACTACCACTGAGCATCACCCCAGCCCCGAGTTCTCTTTTTATTGAGGCTTGAAGTAGAAATCTTACTTCCAATGTTTCAAATACACCAATCTATCTGAGGGACTATTCAAAACATTACAACATTTATACTGATTTGAATTGGTGAGAAGTCTTGAATACATTGAAAAGATTCAGAAGGAAGTCAAGTGTGTTTAGGTCATAGTGGAGGGATTGTTGACTTATCTAAAAGATAGGCCTAACATCATTGCCACATAAGAGATTGTAGTCCTAGATGACAATATCTGACTGATATTATGCTTCTGGAAACATAGTTTTTATATTTATTATTAGGCTGGGGCATTCTTGGACATGGCCTAGCCTGGATATGTGTTAGAGATCACTTTCTCTGGGATGGGTACACCTTACCAATTTCAGAGTTACAGATTCTCATTATGACTGCTGGGCTAAAAACATGGTATTCCCAGAAATAAGCAGACCTTTCTTCTATCATTCTCAGTCCTCCTGTTCATCACATAACATAATCAGTTTTTTTTTTTAAGACATTTTTTTTTTAAAGAGAGAGTGAGAGAGGAGAGAGAGAATTTTTAATATTTATTTCTTAGTTCTCGGCAGACACAACATCTTTGTTGGTATGTGGTGCTGAGGATCGAACCCGGGCCGCACGCATGCCAGGCGAGCGCGCTACYGCTGAGCCACATCCCCAGCCCCATAATCAGTTTTGTAGACACCTCTGTGAATCACAGAAACATTCAGCAGCTAAAAAGCTTATCTTATAAAAAATCCCAGTTCCCAGTCCCACTCCTTAGCTGTCATGCCCTATTTCCAGAGCTGATAATCCTGAGATTCTTCAGAGTCACCTTGTATGCTTTCTTCTGCCATTTATTTCCTTCTTTGTTTCTGTCACCCAACAATCTTCTTTTTATCCTTTGAAGTTCAGCTGTGTGTTTTAAAAATATCATTATAGGTGATCAAGTATTTTTTGTGTGTTTTTTCAGGAAGAGTCATGTCAGTCTGCTATATTGCTGGAAGTTACTTCTAGATTTTTCTCATTTGATCTTTCATAAAGGTTAGAAAGCCAACAAGCAAGCATTTGAGCATAATTTGAAAATTAAGTGTATTAAAATTATATGTATTTCCTTTTTTTTTTCACCCCCAGAGCTGGGGATTGAACTCAGGGCCTTGTGCAAGCAAGGCAAGCACTCTACCAACTGAGCTATATCCCCAGCCCATTTATTTCCTTTTATTATTTAATAAGCATTAAATAATAGAACATTAGTAGAGGTGATGATGCCTAAGTGAACTTAAAAACTTGCAAGTAG